CTCCTTTTCTCAGCTGTTAGCCTCCTTCTATGAGCCGTTAGCCTCCTACTCTGAGCCGTTGGCCTCCTTTTCTCAGCTGTTAGCCTCCTTCAATGAGCCATTAGCCTCCTTTTCTCAGCTGTTAGCCTCCTACTCTGAGCCGTTGGCCTCCTTTTCTCAGCTGTTAGCCTCCTACTCTGAGCCGTTAGCATGGTGCCAAGTTAACTTAAGGACATACTTGTGTTCGAACATGTTGTTTGTGATGGACAAACTATGACTAGCACAGAAGTCCAACAACAGAAAACCGCTCGGGTTCAGTTCAGACACAGTTCCTCCTAAGCAAGCCCCTCCAGGTCATTACGCACATGGGCTTTTAAGTGAAAACATGTTTTCCTCTAAAATGATTCGGACGTTAAAGAATGGAGCTGAAGAGTCCTGCAGCCACAATGAGCAGCTAGATGTCAACTAAAACACAAAACTCCAGAAAACACTACAAACGTATCTTTAAGATACAGATGTGTGCACAACCGAGCCAGTTTTCTTAGATTCATTTCACCTTTAAGCTGAATTAAACATAATTTTATTTTATTATTATATTTTATTTATTTAACACCGTTGACTGACTCAATGTGGTTTAAATCACAGATAGATCAGTAAGTTCTGGTGTTCCACACAGTTCAGAACTAGGACCACTGTCTTACTCAGTATTCATGAAAACTTACTTCACATCATTATAAAATATTTGTCAATATAATGGAAGAACACGCAGCATTTTCTGAACAGCATGAATGATTTTAACTTTCTGCTTCGGACTTCAAACAAAAAGAAGTTGTCGGTTTTAGCTCAAAAAAACAAAAATACATTTTAATCTAAAGTCTGTAGTTCTCATCATTGGTTTAATACTCAAAACTTGTAAAAGGTTTTTATTTTTTTATTTTATTTATAAAATGTATTCTTTTTTTTAAAACAAAACAATTCCATAAACAATAAGAAATACAATCAAAAATAAAAATGAAATGCAACAGAAGGAAGAAAAAAATCTTATTATATCTGCTCCTTTTGTCCAAACAATTAATTCAAACAATGATAATATTCAAGTAACAAACAAAATAACTCCTTATTTAACAACAATTCATACAAAACACATTAAGCTACTTCATATATATTTTTTAACAATTCAACTTTGATCATTTTCTTAAACGTACACATTGATTTGGCATTTTTAACATCACTCTCCAGACCAATCCATAATCTAATTCCCTGGATTGAGGTCGACCGTCTCTTCAAACTAGTTCTGAATTTCAGTTTCACAAATACAAACACAAAAAATGGTTAGAATTATTAAAAAATTAATATGTATCAGATTTATATCTTTAAAAAGGGAACTTGTTTTTAGCCAGGTTAACAACTAGTCAGTTGTCGTAAGATCCTCGGTGAGTTATATTTTTAATTCTGATGTTTCGTACAGGAACTGCATCATGGAACGACCCCCTGAAGACGCAGACGGGACTCTGGCATCTTCTGCAGCTGACTCAAATATCAGGCCAAGCTAAAAATAATAAATCTGCTCTTCCTGTCTAAGACAGAACTCTTTTACATCTTTACATTAACTCAAATTACAATAAGCACTTGGCATGCACAAACAAGAAACAATTGATTCTGTGTTCAGAAATATTTTCACTGTTGTGCAAAAGTAAATGTTATTATCTGAAGAATTTAAAAAAATTAACTATATTAGATCGCAGCAGGATTTTAGAGGAACGCTTAAACTTTTACTTCAAAGGACCAGTTTGGATGTTTAAGACTTCACTGGAGTCAAACTATCTAATGTTTGAATAACCTTTATGATATAATCAAGAGCATTTTAACTCAAACAGATTCAATCTTGAGAATTTTGAAGCAGATATTCACATTTAAGCTGTACATTTGATCATTTTGGGAAGGATGACAATAAAGGCTGTTGTGTCTGCAGAGCTTACCTGAGATCAGCATCTGTGTCCAAATGAAGCATAATGAGATGAACAGGGGGAGGAATCCTCGTCTTCCTCTGCTGTGGTTCATGTTGCCTTCTCTGCAGGTCAGACTGATTTACAGGCTCTTCAGGCTTCCTCCATGAT